CACAGTTGGGATGAGGTTTTGATGTTGGTGTGCTGTGCCTTTTTTTCTCCACACATAGCGTTGTGTGTTCCTTCCAAACAACTCAACTTTGGTTTCATCTGTCCACAGAATATTTTGCCAGTCGTGCTGTGGAACATCCAGGTGCTCTTTTGCAAACTTCAAACGTGCAGATCAGAACACATTTTATGACCAACTTATGTAGAAATCCAGGTAATTCCAAAGGGTTCACATACTTTTTCTTGCAACTGTATAAAGGTTAGATTTATAAATATGCCCTGCTCTGAAAAAACATTTCTTGTTAATAATGTGTGTTGTCTAAACAATATAGGGGCCAATGAAAATACAGGATATATCAATGCAATCCCCCCCCCCCTGTCCCCACCTTAACCCACCTCACACACAAATGTGCATATACAGTATGCACTCTAAACCTCTTCTGTATATTGTTTCATGTTCTGGTATTTATTTATTTATATACTTGTTTCCGGCATTAAAGTGGAAGCCAAATTAAGATTTATTTTTCTACAGGGAAACTTGATTTATACTGTGCACATGACAAACCCTGCAGACAGAGGATTAAATGTGACAAAAGTGTACAAATATTTACGAAGATTATGATACTGTGGCCGGGGCAAATTAGATTATAGCAGGCTGTCACGGATTAGGTTATTAAAGGAGGCTTATGTTTATTGAAATATTAAAAAACCTCTTGTATTTTTGGGTGAACTACTTTAGACCTTACACATCCACAAACTCTTTACAAAGTTTTCTTTTGAAATATTTCTGGAGGAGATGACGTATGTTTGATTCCATAGATAATAATAATAATCTATTGCATTTCCATAGATGGGATTTTGGCATTTGTTGAAAGTAGTGGAACTTTTAAATATTATTTCCATTTCCAGATCATCTATGTATACAGGTAGAGTTGACTATTGGTATGCACTAAACAAAAAGCCCATAACATTCTGAAGCAGTGAAGATAACTCACCTCACCTCACCTCAACACAAATGTCAGAATTCAATCACTGGGCATATTTCTTCCCTTTTAGGTTTTGACCTGCTTGCCTGTTTTTGTTTTTTATAATAAAGCTTTTCTTTTCATTAGCCTGTGCTTTTCCGGCTAACCATCCTCTCTGTCTCTTCGGCCACACATCTGTAAATACCCTTTCAAGCCCCAACAGCAGAGACAGTGTAGGGCAAAACCCCATTAAGACAACATTTGAAAAATAATATATATTTAAAAAACTGAAATAGATGCAGTTCAAAATACAGCAACACATACAGGCATTTTTCTGGCTAGAGCAACAGTCCAGGGCTTAACATAGTAACAATGTTCCTGCTGCTGTATTTTCTAAAAGCCCCACTGTGTCTTAAGTTCAGCCTCACGTTCCTGTCGACTGGTGACACCTAATCCCTGTGTTTGTGTTAAACATTTGTTTATGCTAAAGTTGTTTGTGTATCCAGACTCGACCACAGTGATCTCCTTGTTATGCAGAGGGTTACAGCAGAACGCAGGGCAGGCTACAGCATTCAGCACAAATACACATAGTAGTACACACCACAGTTAGGCTCTATGCACTCGCGCTATTCTCTGCCTTCACTAGCTACTGTCAAAGCAGAGCAAAGTTTAAGAGGAAGTGCAGTTAACACCACAGTAATGTTTTTCTCCTCTTTGCATGAAATTTGGCCTGACATGTCAAATCAATTCTCTAAAGGGGGTCTTTGCTCTCTTCAAATGATCCCAGTGAGTCTCAAATATAACATTGCCAATATGATCTTATGATCATTATGGCCGGCGCTAAAACACTGCTGAGAGAATGTGAATTTGCAAAGGACCCAGTTGCATACAACTAAAGGAGCCCTATAGATAAAATAAAAACCAAAAATGTTGACAATATTTAGGTTTAATTTACTCTACTAAAGACACATGTATGTATCCTCAGAGCTAGACACGTCACTTTCTAGATTCAACGTATACAAGCCTCACAATATTTCATTATTTAATGATAATTTAATGATGGGAAACAAACTTTCCTAACTTCCCATGTCTTTTTGGGTCATTGAGTAGGATATTATGTAATACCTGTTATGTATTCACATTTAGTCCCAGTCTCCTCCAATTTGGACACAGCCTCTAAAAAGGCCCAAAGGGACAGCTACAAGAGTTATCCTAATCCAAATGGTATCCTTTCAACATGGAGGAACTGCACTTCAAGCAAACACATGTCAGCCACCTGAATCTCACTTCTGCTCAGTACCCAGATCTCCTGTAATAATGAGAACGGTTGGAATGTAGATGGCCTGCTCCCTCATCACTTATGGTGAAACATAGATTAGGGCTGCTTGATTATGGCAAAAATCATAATCTCGATTATTTGGGTCAATAATTGATATCACGATTATTAAAAACGATTATTCATTTACTTCGAAAATATCAATTTATTGGAGAAAATTACCCTGAACTTTAAGTATAATTAAACTGAAAATCCAATTTGAAAAAAAAAATGTATTTGAAAAAGAAAAAGAAAAAAAGTAATAATAATAATAAAAAAATAATCGTTTTATTTTGATTACGTTGTTTTTGTAATCGTTGCAAGCCATGAATGTAATTGCGATTAAAATACGATTAATTGAGCAGCCCTAACATAAATCCATTTATAAAACTCACATAGCAAGTAATATGTGTTGGCCTGCAGGCTATGGCACGCTGTTAGTTTGGTTTCGCTTTACCTACTGCTCATCCCACAAGAACGAAACATTCCACATACCAGGAGCCAGTTTACAAAGTCAGGACTGAGCACTCCAAAGTACCTGCTTTTGCCTGTGGCTCATCTGGCAAAGCACAGATACCCTTTACTAATGTCGCAGGCTGGGTGATGGGTGTCATGTTTATCAATTTCATATTTCCACCATCTCAAACGTTACACAAAATGTGAGGTAAAAAAAGATTCAATTTAAGAAATGACTTAATTACATTACATGTCATTTGTTAGACGCTTTAATCCAAAGCGACTTACATACATTCAGTACTGAGGACAATCCCCACAGGAGCAATTTGGGGTGAAGTGTCTTGCCCAGGGACACAACGACATGCTGACTGCAGTGGGACTCGAACTTGCTACCCCCTGATTCGAAGTCCAGCACACTACCCACTGAGCGACAGACGCCACTTAATGAAGTTAAATGGAAGATTGAAAACTCCAGTGTCGTCTTCTTACCTCATGCGATAGTGCAACTTGACACTGGTTTCATCTGTGATGGTGAACTCAAAGGTGGGGGGGTACCATGTGCAAGTTGTCTCATCGTAAAGGGCATATAGGTTATGGCACAAGGGAGAGATTGCTGAGAAGGAAAAGAGAACAAAGGAAAAAAGATCAATATTCAGACCAATTATTGTATTGGGTTTTGGGGTTATTTTACAGCCTTCTGTCCAAAGAGAGGATTTAAGAGCAACAGCCAACAATCTACTTATAAGATAAGTGAGAGATCATTTACAAGAAGCATGTCAATAATCTTACATAAGCCAACAACAGTCTGCTAACCAGTCAGCTACTATTTGCTGCGTAAAGATGGGAAAATGCTATTTCCCCAAGAGTGGCACTTAGTATAGTTCATAGTACAATATTTGATGCATAGCTTCAAAACTGTGGTTGCAATTTATTGCAGATTTTAACAACAGAATGGCAGCACTTCGAGGTAAGGCAGTGACACATGTTCTCACACAGAAGATAAGTTCTACTCTGTGAGATTGTTATTGAGTACAGTACATGTCTAATAAAGATTAACATTATTTTTAAGCTTTATACAATGTAATTTAAAAGGTGGGAATCTAATATATAAAAAATGGTGATAAGGGTAATTTCCAACCGATGTGTCAGATACTATAATCACAGTTAACATTTACATTAGATTGTTCATTACAGGCAATAAACTGAATAAATAAGGAGAGGAGGCACGTCTTGATTTTGCCAGCTAGCTAACAGTTCAGTCACTCACAGCATTTCTTTGCAGCCTCCACACAGAGCTCCAATGCGGTGAAGCAGCCTTTGAAGTACTCTATCGGTTGCACCTCCTCTGTGTAAAAGTGGATTTCCAAGCCCCGAATGGAAGAAGGAGAAGAGGACAGTTGGACCCTCTTACTGGATCTCCTCATCTTCCCACAGAGTTGCCTGCTCAACTCCATCACCCACAGAGTTGGCATTCAGACACTGGACGAGAGGGAGAGAGAATGTTAGATTAGGTTGTACATTCAAAGTAAGTTTGGCAACTCAAGAAAGATGAGAGAAATGACAACATACCCAAAAGGGAAACAACTAAATATATATTTCTCTTACACACAAGTTACTGTAAGTCGATGATCTGTGGAATTGTAACCCTGTTATACAAGTAATTGCTTCTAAGGTGAACTAATATGAATACTTAACCCACATTTTTAAATAACCCACATTTTAGAGGAAATGGGTGGCTTTTAAAATAGACAATCTAGTGTGTTACAACCAATGTGCGTGTGTGTGTCTGTGTTACAGTAAGACAGAAATATTGATTCTGAGCTGAGCAAACACCAGAATAGGGTCCAATGTTCACTAACCTGATAACTTATATTAATACAGCGCAGTGCCCCAACACTGACGCAGACAGCACACAGATGTGTCAACAAAGTATAATTACGTCAGCCTGTCTACTGGGAGGATGACATCAACATGGAGGACAGATTGTTGCTGCGTAGTGACTGCGAGGAGTCTGGGCCTCACTATGGGATGGGTCTAATAGTCAGTCTACACCAGCTGCATAGCAAAAGCAGCATGAAAACAGCAGCAGCCCTTGTGTTGATAGCACTCGCACAGCTAAGATGCCAGCATAACCAGACACAAATATCACTTATCATTACACAGGCATCTATTCAGACTCAATGTCACACACACTCACAAGCATATACAAACAAGCATAACAAGAGGAGAAGATGGGAAAGAGAGGTATAAAACACAGAGGGTGACAGACTGCTTGTTTGTTCTGTCCTATTACTATCATGTATTGCTTATCGCAGATCCTGTTAACACCCTATTAGTTATAAAGCAAATCCAAATGAAAGCTATTTCTTTTTTTTTTTACCTCAATGGTGAGATTTGGCTTATGTGCCAATCCCCAAACATAACCACGGAGGAGCAAAGTAGTCAGCTTGGGAAGTGGTCAATGTTCTTACAGTCATCCTTTTTCTTCATTCTCATGTATTACACTTTAATTTCTTGCGAAGCCATTTTTAATGAGTCATCCGTCTGCCTGTATACAGCGAGTGTCGATCACACAGTGAGGCCATTTCCCTCCCTTGTCTCTCTGTTACGATCTGAATTCAACTGTTGAATGTCACAACAGTTCAAACTCATTCAACATTCAACATTTCAAACATATTTCTTACAAATGTGGGCATGGTATAAAACGAAAGCCATCAAGACACGATAAAAAGCTTGCCAAATACTACCTCCATATGCCTCTTCATTTTCCAAAGCAAGAACAGAATGCACCAAATACCGCAACAATAACTTTATTGCAGATTAATCAGACATTTATTTTTGTAGATAAATCAATTATTTGTAGTCATTCAATTGTAAAGAAGTAGCAAAACATTTGCATTATGAAGCTGAAACCATATAAATTCTTCCATTATCACTTTAAAAAACAATTTTATTGAAATACTCAGTAATGTTATGTTGGCAAGTGGTATAAATGTGTGATGACTATAAAAACTAAAAACCGTTGTTCTTCAGCCTAGACATGTTATACAGGTGTTGATAGTTTCAATGGACCAGAACTTGTATTAATGCATTATCTGGTGCTAATGCTAAACTATGTGTTGCAATAAATTATGATATACTGTGAATAACATGTACTATATGTTTGTTGGGTGCTTGTAAATAAATACAACCCCAACAATCAAACTCTTCTGCATCATTTCATTTTGCATCAGTTTACAGTTTCCCTTGCCTATTTAAGTCTGAGGTGCATTGCCCATCTGAACAGTTGAGAATTAAAGCCCATCACAAGGACAAAGTAGCTAAAGAAAAAGAAAGTGAAACGAAAATGAACCCCCCTCTCTCCATGACAACCTTCTCTTTTTGTTAAAAAACTTCCTTTTACAGTCAAACATTTCCTAAGGGACAATTGTGACTTAAATAGTTTCAACAGGAAACACTGGCCGAATGCAGCGTATCATAGGTTACTTACAGTTACAGTAGGTGTTTATTGAGTTATTGTTGAGGCTTAATTTATTTTACAAAAAGTGACAGCTAAGGTGAAGAGCTATAAACAAACAGTGACCATGAAAACAACGAGTATCCTTTTCCATTAACAGGGTTAAAAAAAAAAACAGGGAACACAATGGCAATGTGTGTGTGTGTGTGTGTGTGTGTGTGTGTGTGTGTGTGTGTGTGTGTGTGTGTGTGTGTGTGTGTGTGTGTGTGTGTGTGTGTGTGTGTGTGTGTGTGTACCAAGAAGAGGCACCTACGTCTGACAACCACAATGTGTTAATGTGTATGTGTATCCTTATGTGTATCCTTTGTTGACAGGATTGTGTCTGATATAGTACAATATTTGGATTACACATTTGTATTATCAATTGCTCTTTCTGATCTGAAGTATCAATAATTTGTGGATAAGATCCAAAACCATACGAACGTGACTAGAGTAGTAGTAACATTAGATATTCAGTGTATCACAAAGAAAGAAAACCAGGAAATGTTCACATTGTTGAAGATCAAACAAGTGAATATTGCCCTTCGCTTTAGAAAGTACTAAAATAATGAATTTCTTATCAAAATATGTGCTGTTTTATTTAGTGACACATATGATCATGAGCTTCTTCTTGTAATGTCACTGGGTATATTCCAGTTCACAGAATACAATTTCAGCATTTTACCTAACTCCAAATGTTTCCCCTGATCCAAGGCATAAGGACGAACAATAGCTTTCAGTTTTTCTTTCACACTCGATAAGCAGCACAATAAAAGACTATAGACGGCTGGCCCATTTATTAAGACATTTCGCTTTCTCCACGAGTGGGCAATATCAAATCACATTGATAGCAGGAAAAGCCTTGAAACTCTTCTGATGGTGTTTTAGTATTCGACTGTACTTTAATCTCGTGTTAAGATAGTGTCAAATGTATTCATTCACTATGCCCACGTTTCTGATGGCGTTTGAGTATTACATTGCATCATATTGTACTTTCTTCCTGTAACTCACTGTATGTTCCAAATAAAGCAGCCAATTACATTACATCGCAATAAAACGGCATCACACAGTGGATATGGATGGAGTGCCATGGCTTTCATGGCAAGCTGACGATCGTTGGCTAACATTAGCTTGCTAGCAAGTTATGAGTCTTAAATGGGCAAAGCAAACAAAAGCTAGATGTTTTCCCCACTTGACAACAGCGGGTAAAGATAAAAAACGAGCCAATGAGTAAAACTATCCAGAACACAGATGCCTTTCTCGATGGGAACATTTAGTAAAAGGTTATTTACTCACCTCGGAGCTTGGCCAGACAGCTGGCAAGTTACTTCCGTTTCGTTCTGTACATTAGACGCTCCCACCAAGTTGTAGCTCTTCTCTAGATGGATTTATAAGTATCGTGCCTCGGCTTCTTTATTCCGAAACTTCCCAATAATAATATTCAGTATCCAAAGGGAAATAAATGTCTACTTTAATCCACTGAATGTGTTGATGGCCGGTAGCTTGAGACGAGAAAAAGCAACCTCTGTTCTTGCTAACCCTTCCTGACAAGTAACGGCCCATTCCCGAAAACAACATAATGGCCTTCTGTAGAATTCGGCTGCTGATTGGCTGTTCAGCCCGTCACTCAAGATGACGACATTAACCCTTTACTGGATTCAGGCTGGCGTGTGTATTTTGATCACTGTTCATCTACTATACAGTCTATCTATGCTGAACCTATGGTTTTAACTTGTAAACCCTTTCATATGGAAACAATAAAACACATTTAAAGAACAAGTTTTTGAGTTATAGTTCACACTAAATCTTTAGTCCAGCAATCTTTATAGAACTAAGAAAAAGAAATGAAAATTCAAACATCTATATGAGCTTGTAGAATGTAAGTTATGTAACTGAATACATGTATGCAAGTACTGTACTTGAAGGCGGGCCTGGCGGGCCCCTCACTTTGAGCATCATTCATCCATCAAAAAGTACAATAAATGTCACAATTATTAAATAACTTGAAATCATTATTTCCCCCCAACACACGTTACTATGTTTAGATCAGATATGTGGGCAGGCAGTCAAGCAACGTGTAAAAAAGCCTCAACCCCAAGTGAGCTTGTAGTCTTAATGTTAGCGTGATTGCTTAGCTGTAAACACAGTCGGATGAGTGACCAAAACGTCCCCGTTTTCCAGGCAGAGTCCCCGTTTTCGGTGGCTGGTACCCGGTTGAAACTCCCGAAAATGTTCCCGTTTTTGAACGTGCGTTAAAAAAATAGAGCAAGGTGAAATCAAATGTTACATGTCCCTAAAAACAGAGTAACAGTGTTGTGCCTGTTTGTAGCGTTAGCGTATTTCTTCTTCTACTACTTCTTCTTCTTCTTCTTTTGTCTTTAATGGCGAATCGCTTCCACTTGGAGATTATATCGCATATAGGCCTATATTGATTTATTAAATGTTTATATTAAATCCTTGCCTCAGACCACTGTTTTTGAGGAACTTGAAGATCAGCTTGTTTACTTCATTTCTTGATTTACTTTCGTATATTCACTTGAAATCCATGTCCTTGATGTTATGTTGTTCCAGTGCAGTTTTCAGAATGAGTCTTTGTCTTTTATAATCCAGGAAGCTAAAAAATACATTATGTAATTTTTCTCCCCAATTTTCGGCGCCCCCGATGTGTTGATGCGCACTTAGCATTCGCCTATACTGCATATGCCAAGGGCCGGCCCTGGTGAAAACAATATGACATCAACAAAAGATAAAACAGACAACTACAGATAGCACCACACATAATGGTTACTTCTTATTATTTAGGGCTGCCTGTATGGATCATACTGCCCCAAAGCGGGCCCTTTTACTAGAATAATAATATGTTATCTATTATATCAACCGTATTGGTACAATGAGCGACATCTAGTGAGGGATTTTGGAACACTGATTTGATTTTTCTCATGGCAGTTAGACTCTAGAGACAAACCAGGGGACTTTATTTTTATTTTTAATCTGTGTCTGTCCATTTGGTGTAGTGTTTGATCCAATATTACATTTGGTTTATATATTAGTCACTTTCTTATGAAATGCCAGGTTTTAGGCCTTGATTTGAACATTCAATCCTGAAAATAAAAAATCAACCAGATTAATGTTTCTTTAATCCTGACCTGACTAAAGTGGATAGTAAGTAAGTAAATCTGTATAGGAAGACGAGTTAAGGGATAGAGGAGAAAAGGTTATGGTATAATTACAGAGCCTGTCCATTTATAAATTGAGGAAATCAATGTTAGTCTGTTAACCAAAGTGCAGGCATCTATCTATCAACTATCTACTATCTATTATTAAAGATCAGAGGAAAAGAACAGAACGAGAGGGGTAAATCCAGAATAAAATAAAGAAGCAAAGAGATTATAGAGCAGAAGGGAGGAAAAAAGCTTGGTGTGTCAATTCATTACATTGCCAGTATTTTTCGTTGTTGTGAAAAGAAATCGCCCCCTCTGATTTTTTAACAGCCCCCTCAGTCATTTCATCCTGGAGCCGGGCCTGCTTGAAGGTGATTTAACTTGAGTATTTCCATGTTATGCAACTTTATATTTTTGGGTTTAGCCCCACTACATTTGTCTTTAGTGCCCTAGTTACTTTTCACATAACTATTTTACATTATCCTCCTGTCCAGTGAAAACCATGTACTTCCAGATTTGTTGATATGGAATGTGTGTGATAATCTGCAGAATTAAGAGCTCATTAAAAGGTTATTTAAATTAAGCTAAATAAACTATTTCAAAACCCTCCTGGAATGGCAAAAAATGCTTTGTAGCAAAGCTGAAAATATGCATCGTCACAAAGCTCATAATAGAGCTGTTTTTCCAAAACATTTTGATTGGTTCTCACTGAACAGGGATGCTAGAAAAATATGATGATCTTGTAAAATATATTGTATCACTGTAGGTTAAAATATCACATAGTAATAAAGGATTTCAAATGAGCACAAGCTTAAATATGTTAAGTGCCAAATGTATGATATTCAAACACTGAATGAGTAGTTTTATTTTGAAACTTTGAGTACAAGTTCCCACCAAGTTGTACACTTTGCTGATGAGGAGTTTGCTTGAATCAGGTTTTAAATGCAGGACTTTTACTTGTTGTGGAGTATCTTCATGGGATGGTATTGGTTCTTTAACTTAAATAAAGGATCTGAATACTTCTTCCACCTCATGTTTGCATGTGCATTTTCATCACATAGGCATCTCAATCTGCTGAGAAGTTAAACACAGTTTTGGAGAAGTTGATGTAATATCTTTCAAAAGGACAAGAACAAGACAAAATAATTGAACGTAAAAAATATGAAGTACTATAGGGGAACAATTTCATGCAACTTTATGCATCTACTCCACCACATCTTAGAGGCAAATATTGTTATTTTGACTCCACTTTTCAAAATTAGTTTTCCAGCTTTAGACACTTCTTAAATTGCAATCTACCCTTCCTTTCAATTTATATCCACGTTTCTTCAGATTTTAATGAGATTTCTTGTCTGATAAACCAAAGGATTGTGTGTTCCTTTATGGATTAAGAAAACCACATTTCTTATATTTGAAACAATCAAATACCCTCTTGGATTAGCCGGAGCTCATAAAAGTGGATTTTTTTAGATATACTGTACATGGTTCTAAACAGACAGCATGCTATGATCATAATTTATAGGATCTGAAGATTAAAAAACTGAACTCTGGTTAAAGTAAGGACAACACCGAACATGCCCAATGAGTACTTTTGATATTTTGGAGATTTTAAAGTGAGGCCTTAAATGAATATATATTGTTACTTTTACTATCTGAATACTTCTTCCACCAAGGACTTTGGACACATGGACTTGGCAGTTGTGCACATATTCTGACCTCTGCAGGGAGGGTTACTGCTCATACTTGCCATTCTGTAGGTTGGACGCAAATCAGTGGTTCCTTCCAAGGCTTTGTTTGAGCAATCTAAAACATCTTTGTGATTGTGTTTCCAAAACATTTCAACATGTAGTAATCCTTTAATGGGCCCTACAGTATCTCTTGCAAATGTGCATAACCGCTCTTTTGGATGAGGTTGTTTACTGGAACCTGAAGCATTGCCAATATTCAAAATGTGTTTAGGTATACCAAGTTATGCATCATGACGTTATTTTGCATGCCATGTAACATTTGTGTCTCTTATGTAAAGGGGCTTTTTCAACAAAGAGAAAACCAACAACATCGGACATACAAGTCAAGGAGGTGTTTGAAAATATGTGACTGAATCTTTCCAGCACTCTCTCAGCTAAGTCCCACCATAACAAAGTAATGGAGTTTCCCTATTAACTGCAAACTAAAGATCGCTCACAGAGACAAAGTCTATCAATTCACATATGATTTAAATATTTAGTTCCGTAATATATGACTCTGAAAAGCAGTATACAAACATTTGGAGCAGAAGTTTCCTTTCTGCAGGGCAAACCCTCAGGGAGGATCGGAACAGTTTCAGGGAAAACTTACTGAATGAAAAAATATTACAATAGTTTAATAACCCAATTCTTAAGTTGTGTGCAGTGTTGGTCAGTGTCAACCCCTATCCTTTATTACTGTTGGTGGACCCCTGTGCACAAAACCACATCAGTACAGCATTTCTGTGAGGTCTATAAGTGTATTTTATGGGCAGGTAAAGGCATGGACTGTGACCCTTGTGGAGGAAAGGAAACAACCTTCCTACTGTTACAAAAGTAACAAAGGATATAAACGTTTCTTTCTAACAAAAGACTGGGTGGTTCGTTTTAAGGTAGGGACTTTCCATGCCGCATCCCAGTCAATACAGTTATCCCCTTGCATTAAAAGAAGATGATATTCTCATAATAAAGTTGGTGTTTTCAATGGTTTTGTTGACTACCCTGATAGGTAGTGGGTTTGAATGCCTGACCTCACTTAGAAAATAGTTATACCTCTTTTAAGCAATGTTAGCTTCACTTGACGTTTAATGCTTTATTAACACAAGATGAATTGCCACAAATGATCAAGATAGCACAGGGTGAGTCAGAAAGAAACATGCGCATCAAGTCGAGTTAAGCAGATTGAGGTTAGAGTGGGAGAAAAACAATACATTTGTAATGACTCTTAGGGGATTTCCACAGTAGCTATACCGTTACAGAAAACATTGTAAGGACAGGTGCAGTGACCTGTGGTTTATCAGACATGACTCAAACAGTGCACTTATTATTCAAAACATGTTTCATTTCAGCATGTTGACATCACATATCACAGAAAAATTGTGTTTTTATCTGTTCTATACTGATATCACATATTGAACATAAGATTCTCTTAAACAACAATGACTTATAACAAAATGGAGATGGAAAAATGTCATACATTGTTGTTTCGATCATGTTCAACTATTCTTAGGGGGGAAATATATTCACTTAGTAATGAAACAATTAATAAAAGCTATGTTTTTTTTTATTAGACTGGATTCACTCAAACTTTTTGAAGTTGTCAGATGACATAAAAATGACAATTACAGACATGTTATTTAGACCACAAAGCACATGACTAA